TTGCCTCGATAGCCGAGGCTCCCAACGAGTCACCCACTGACTCCCACCAATCCCGGGCTCGGTCCCGTAAACACCCTGCTGCGTACCTCACCTTCGACCCCTCGGGGCAGAAGCTAGTCAACTGGGCAGACTCGATATCTGCAATCCACCGCCTGGCGACAATGGGGTCCTTCACCCCATGGAAATCCGGCGCGCCACTGCCCCTGAAGTCCTTGAAGGACAGTGTGCGAGATCCTGACTGGCTAGAGGCCAAATCGCTCCTGAATGCCCGTAGGCGATCCTCCATCAACTCCATGATCCCTTCCTTGATCGACCCAAAGAGGATGGGGGTCGACTCAAGGATGCCCCTGGTGATCTCCGACGTGATGAACTCACGTAGCCTCTCATCAATCGGCTCGGTGCCTGATCCCGAACCTGACCCCTCTCCTGACCCGCCATCTGTCGGTCTCGGTCGAAGTACCACCATTCTGCAAATCATCATAATAATCATTAGTGATACTGCTACTTTCTGAGGGATCTCAACTACTTACAGGTTCCTTGGTCTCGTCTTGGCCTTCCTCGGCTCGGGTACGGATCCTCTGCTTTCAGTAGTACGGGCCCATACTACCTTCCACATCTATCCGTGCCTTCTCCGAGGAATTCCTCGACTCCACCAGATCCCCTTTACTACTGCTACTCTCTGTTATTCTCATCCTAGGCTTGCCCTAGGGAAAACTCAAGTTCAACACGACTGGTCCTCAGCTGCTGTAGGTCTCCTCATAGTGCCAGTTAGCCACCACCTAAACACCATCACATGGGACGAGGATTAGATAATCCTTCAAGTAAAAGATCCGTCCCTACAACGGTTGGACTCAAACAAGAGCTGCGCAATAGGGCCAGTTCCAATACTTTGGGATTATTCAACCCTGATTACATGTGGTGTGACGTGTTTACCTAGTGGCTAACTCCCATTACTCAGAACCCCACCAAGCACGAAGCAAGCAGCATTCGGATAAGGGGAAACAGACTCAAGCCAAAACTATCCTTATAACAAGAAACGACACTTAACATAGGATGCTAAGCTCATACTATCAGGCATAACCTAAACAGGCTATCCTACTGCTGTCTACTCAATTCTAGCATGCAATATTCATAAAGCTGTAACACATAAGCAGGCACATAAGGCATCACTCCTAGATCCTTAGCCCTATTCTAGCATGCAGTTCTACGTAAGCTGATAAACATAACATAAACTTGTATGGGTACTATGGGGAATACTTACTTGAGCTCGGCCGGTCGCGCACGTCACACACTTCGCTCTTTCTTATGACTCTTTTCCAAGTTTTAGAGAACATTTTCTTTCGAAAAATCTTTCAATCCCTCGATTTGAGTTCAGACACCCCGAAGGCGTGTCCGAATCCCTCAAACCAGGGCTCTGATACCAACTTGTAACGACCCAATTTTTACGTCCGAAAATTTCATTTTAAAATATTACTTTAGAAAACATTAATAAATAAAAACATTGTTGATCACACCATAACACATCGCAACCATGTTTTAAAAGGTCAAACCATACATCCCATCAAAATATCAGAGTACAATCCCAGTGACTCTCGTAAATGCGGAAGACAGAGTGTGTGCATGACGTGCCGCTACCGCGCCGGCTCCTTCCCCTTCGGTGCAGAGGTACCTGAAAACAAAACTGTAAACGTAAGCACAAAGCTTAGTGAGTTCCCCCAACGTACCACATACCATGCAAACACATAACATAAATACTGCCAGGCTATTCTGGGGTGCCTGACTACCCGGTACGGCCATTCTGGGGTGCCGACCTACCCATACGGCCATTCTGGGGTGCCGTCCTACCCGTGTCAAGCCATTCTGGGGTGCTGACTACCCATGTCAAGCCATTCTGGGGTGCTGACTACCCATCGGTCCTAACAACCGATCCTCGGGGACTGGTCCCCTCCCGCTACCTCTATCGCATAACATAACAGGCCAACATACAAGCATACCATCACATACGGTCAGATGTTTCTGGGGTGTCTGACTACCCTGCGGTCCTAACAACCGAACTCTACTACTATTGCATATAACGTATCATGAGAGCATATAACATAACAGGTAATAGCAAACCTAGATGATATCACAAAGACAATCATCTATCATACGTCCCTACTGGTGGCCGGCATTGTGGCCTTAGGCCCACCACTACTGGAAGGTAACTCACCTCAAAGTAGCTGCTGAACTGATCGGGAACTAACTGACTGCTGCTGCTCCGGGAGTCCTCCGGCTGCAATTCCCACAACATACTCAATCAAACACTGCTAACTGTCCTTTAGGTAAAATGACCATTTTACCCCGGTCTAGCTCTAAGTCAATGTTAGAGTCAACTTTCAGTTGACCCGACTCGCCGAGTTCTCCAACTCGTCGAGTCCCTATCAGACGATTGTCCGGAGTCCCTGTTCTACTCGTCGAGTTAGGCTATGACTCGACGAGTTCATCTTCTAGACTGACGTTCAACTCTTCATCCTACTCGCCGAGTTGTATGAACAACTCGTCGAGTTCATCTTCATCCGAAGAACACTTTATGCTAAGACTCGCCGAGTTGTATGAACAACTCGCCGAGTCTGTTCTTGATCTATGAAGATTGCCTTGGACTCGCCGAGTCAGGGCATTGACTCGCCGAGTCCTAACATGGGTGAGTTCAGCTCCCAACTCACCGAGTCACCCCCTGTGACTCACGGCTCAACTCGATACATCATGAAGGGACCAATTCGGTGACTCGCGACCAGACTCGCCGAGTCACCTATACGACTCGCCGAGTCGTCGCCATGCATCCACCAAATACACCGATTTACTCGATTTCAGTCATGCCATTCATAGATCTGGACTTCTAGGACACCAATCACACGTAAAGTTTCCAACTTTACGTGTGGATACTCACTAATATGGATTTTAGGGTTCAAAATGCCTCAAAAGGGTAGATCTAGGATGAACAAGCCACATGGGGCCATAAAGCTAACAGATCTGAGCTCCTGGAGCTCAATCTTGCCTAGATCTAAAGGCCCATCCACTTATTACGAAACATTAAGCACAAACAAGCTTGAGGAATTGCTCAAGAGTGTCTTAAATGAAATCTTAAGCATAGAAACAGGGGGAAAACGAGATATACCTCAATGAAACAGCTGAAAAACACAATGATGCTTGGATGGCTCTCCTTCCTCTTGATCTCCTTCCCCTTCTTGCCTCAAAACCTTCAAGAATGCACACAAGAGCCTCAAATTCACAAGAACAAGCTTAGGACGAGTTAGGACGAGGGTTGGGAGCTCTGGGGGTGAATGGGGGCTGGCAAGGGGCAGATATGGGGTTTAAATAGGGTGCAAACCCCTGAAACTTAGGGTTTCATCCAACAGCGGTGACTCGCCGAGTCCAGGATATGGACTCGCCGAGTCGCCAACTTAAACGTGTCCTGCGTCTCGTCCCTACTCGGCGAGTCGGACCTAGTGACTCGCCGAGTCCAAGGCTAAAATAGGGCAATACTCAAATAAAATTCACATACCGGAAACCAGGTGCT